AGCCAGAGCAATCCTACTGGTATATAGAACTACTCAAACTGCCGCACTTCTGCGAGAGATGTGGCTCAAGCCAGCTCATATTCTACTTGAGGAGATACGCCTCCGCTTTACTGTTAGGCTAGCTGCCGCGAACGTCTTTCATCCTTCGGTCAGAAGATTAAAAGACCCTCGCGTACAATCTCGCCTCACCGAAAAATTGAAGCTCATTTCGCCCTTCCCCCGCCCTCAGCTCTTAACTCCCTCCTTTAAAGCTCCGCTAAATCGTACTCGAGTAGACTTTTCCATCCTATAATTTTCCGAGCGCATCAGTGCACTTCCACCATGGGATATCCTTGTCTTCTCGGACGGCTCAAAACAAAGCGATGGGTCTGCTGGGGCAGGTGCCATCGCTCTCCAGAAAGACATCACTGTAGCTCAAGTGAGGGTGCCCCTCGGCCCCGATTTCGAGGTCTATGACTCCGAAATTATCGGCGCCCTGGCAGGGCTTAAGGCCGCTGTAGCTGCCCCTTCAACTCATCTCGCAACCAACATCCACGTTATCCTAGACAACCAAGAGGCAGCACAATGCCTCCTCAATTATTCGCCATCTAAGTCCTCGCAAATGGAAATTCTAGAATTTCGGGATCTCGCGTCTAGCTGGCCTACGAGGAGAATTCTGCCTATCGCATCTCCTAGCAAAGTCCAAGTTATGTGGTCTCCCAGTCACATAGGTATTCCAGGCAATGAGCTGGCCGACAAGCTGGCCGGAGAGGCGGCTCGCCAACCTGCCCCCCTGCCGCATCCCTCGCCGGAGTCCGCGCAAAGATACAAAGGCAAATATGGGACTTTACCACAGCTTGGTGGCAATCTCATGCTCCATCTACCTATTGTGATTTAGGGATGCCATTTCCCAAGAAGCCTCCTGAGGAACTTCGACTTCCTTGCCGATATCTCGGGTATTTAATCCAATGCCGCACTGGACACGGTGACTTTCGTGCCTATCACTAAAGGTTTCATCATCTTGATGCCCATCTGATTTGTTCCTGCGGGGCTAACAAGTCAATCACTCGTTTAGTTCTTTGCCCCATTGTGCGAGAGAGACTGGCTTCGGTCGGCCATCGACGAAGTATGGGCTTACTCTATTTTCTTCTGAGCACCTCCCCAGGAGCTAAGCGTTTCACCATCATATTGAAGAAGGTCAGGTTCCTGCCAGAAATCTGCCCACTCCGTAACATATGAGCTATTCTTGCGAGGTACCCGCTGCATAGCGCTCGCAGTTTCTAAATATATTTTCATGGCCTCTGCCACTGCATATCACATTTTGTATTACTTAGTAGTCACCATATTCCCTCAGGGATGGGGCTTTAATTGTAACTAGTGCCCGGTAGACATAAAAAATAAATAAATACGTGGATATATAAAGATATTGTAGCCTCTAATTGTAGGACAAGTCTTCTACAAAATAATATCGGAATCAATCCTAGCCTCTCATTAAGCAATCTTGTCAATCTTTTTCTATGTCTATGATAACAGACCAATATACAAAGTCGACATCAAGTTTAAAGTCGGTAACTTTTGCTCTGCTTACAGACTGGACGAGTCAACCTCGGATCATGACCTACACACGAAAATGTTGTGGCCTCCTGCAGCTCTAGCCAAGCATCTACTCACAATACTTAAGGTTTGTATTCAGCGGAAGGAGAGGCTTTTGATCGACTGCTGGAATATCTGCAATGCTCCAACAGGCTCCAGCGACGCGAGGGAAGGTCTGTGTCTACTTCTAACGCTCTCTGAAACCCGAGACGTCGTTTCCAGAGACATCATTATACGCTACTCGGCATTGGATCCAACGACCAGGAAGTTCACAGTCGCAGAAGAATCTTTACTTGCTTGGAAAGTGGGAAAAATTTCCTCCTTGTTATGAACCTACTTGTGGGCAGGTTTACAAAGCTGCTAAGCTGCAGAGGTCGAGCTAGTCGCGACGAAGACGAAAGTTCGAAGGTGTTGTAAAGGTAAGGGCTTACGGAGGTTAATTGGCAGAAGGTTTACGGATGATTATCAATGAATCAATTTGAGCTGCTGATATTCTTGGTATTCGGAATTATGAGGATTTGGGATGTAGAAAGGGCTAATTATATACACATCTGAGGTATCTAGACTCTCGCCTTATTTACGCAGAACAGTATCACGGAATATTCTAGTCTCCTCCATCTGGTAGTCTAATCTAGAAACACTTTCCATACAGTGCTTCATTTTTCCTCTACTCATCATGGAGACCCCTGGAAAGTTCTTCCTTCACCCTCAGTGACCATCACCCTTGTGCATCGCAATCCTAGGCATCACTAGCACAACAGAAGGTTATAGATGTTACGGAGGTTAGAAATTAAATACGAATTTCAGAATTAAGAAACTAATTCAAATATCCAACCTGACCAAATCTACATTCCACTGGCTCGGCTCTAAACGAAGTAGAAAAATAACTCGAGTACGACTGCATCCAAATTATATCCAACAAGTTCACAACACCCAGCTCGCATGGAGTACCAATGCATGACACTGGTAGAGTGATCGCCTTGTTGTTTGCTTAGACATGCCCAAATTTAAGCAGACAAGCTCGCCCGGGCTGTAACAGCGTGGAATGAATACTTTAACCACTGGGCCACATGACCCGACAAAGGTATTACACTAGAACAGAAATTCTAGTGTATTCGACTATACATGGTAGAGTTGCGGCAAACTGGCACATGGATCTCGAAGCTGGCTCAGATTATAGGAGCCTTCTAACAAGAGTCCCACACAAAGGGGGCGAGCCCACTGACCTTGACCGCCTTTTTTATGGAGCCTACTAATGGGAGAATCTCCGTACAGCCCTGTTAACCCGACTTTTACGCCCCTCTACCAGATCCAGAAGAGGAAGCTATCTCTCTTATAGACGTAATATCGGATGCTTTGCGCGCAGCCTACCTTAGATGTAGAGAGAAAAAGTGTCCTTTTGTGGCGGACAGAAGGGTGCGCAAAAGCTCATGGGTGTTATGGGCTGGAGCGAAGGCGTATTTGCCGGACTGTGATTAGGATGGAGAGGAGGTTGGATGTATTGAATGGTGGTGGAGAAGATAGTTTTGTACACTTATTATCTTCAATTAAATGGTTGGTATTACTCAGGGGGGTCATGATGCACTTGGGTGATATGGCAATAATTTGGGAGGGATGCGAATGTTATCTTGTATGGCTGTCTCATTGTATACTACAAGTGTTGGGAACCACCTTGGTAGGGCCCTTAGCAGTATTGCAGTTCAGATAAGTGAGCACATTGGTCTCAATGCGTATCTGTATCGAAGGAAAGTGCTCGGAGTGATTAATCCAAAATGTCAGTGTGGATATGCGTCTCAAAATATAAAACAAATGGTCTTGGCGTGTGCTCAGTGGGCAATGGGAAGAGGAGAGGTGCTTCGAAAGGCAAAAGACAGGTCATTTGCGGCAATGATGAACAGCCCAGATGACATAGAGAGAATTACAAAATGGATCCTGGCAAATGGCTGGTTTGAACAATTCCGGCTTGCAGGGGAAGTAGACGTAGCATTGGACGAAAAGATGAGACGATGTGGACAAGGATAAGACGGATTTCAGACTGTGTAAAGAGTGTAATCGCACTTCCTGTAGGAGACCTTAGAAAACCATTTGACACAAGGCGGACAGTTATGGGGGGTTTTGTTAAGCAATGAGATGTAGATTTGTGTCACGTGACTTAGTGACGTTAACCCGTCACTCATTTTGTATATAGCTTAACGGAACTCAGTAAGAGTTCCGTTTGCCCTTTGTAGACAGTCTATTCCACCAGATTTTACCTCGTCGATCTATCTTTCTTTACCGTGACAAGCTTTCACCGAATTTGGTTTCCTCCTGTGTAGATATTATTTTTTTGCATCATATTTTAATTGCGTTTTTTTTTCTTTTTTTTTCTTGCATCAGATTTTAATTGCGTATGCAGCTATTAAGCTATGACACAATATTAGAGGTAGAGTGCACAAATGATGGCTCAATTTTAACTAGAGCGCTCATGCCTCGGATTTCATTTGCTAGTACCACTGCGAAGTTATGCCGGCTTTTTCTTCAGCCCAAGTCAGGCCTCATCCGTGAATACCCACCCAGGGGAACGTCTCAAAAACCCTGGGTTATCCAGACTTGCCTCCATCATCCGTTCACATTTCTCCGCGCGAAATATGGTCTTTGGTGTCTCCTTCCCAAGTGAAGTAGGTGCCCAGGCTACTCAGACTAAACCGGAGAACACCACCAGGAGGCGGACCACAACACCTTCCATCGTTTGCTTGTGTTTACAGTGTCAGCTGCACTCTTCCTGTATAGATAATATAGCTGGATATGACTGCATGGGCCCATAGGGTACCTGAACGGCCGAAATGAAATCAAATTAAATAAATCTCCAATTCCTTTGCCTTTTCAAGCCTGAGGCGAGATGTAAGGGTCCATCCATCGGGATGCAGGCTGTTTGGATCCCCTCACTTTCATCTGCCAGAGATGAAATTAATCAGTCAATCTGTACATGACACAAAATTAAGCAGGATTTCGACCTGGTCCTGCCTGTGACTACAGCAAATCTCTAGCATTCATACCATCTCTTGATACATGTCCCTGTTCAGTTTTCTACATTTCACTTGGTTCAAGAGTTTTAATTTCACAGTTTAGGGCCCAAATAACTTAACCTTCGATAACAGATTCTTGAGTAAGAAAATTCAAGATGATTTGTGGTAATCTCATTTTAAGCAGGAATTAACCATCACGCAATGTGTCTAAGAGACACTATTCCCATTTTAAAGTTCCTTCTCCAGCACACATTCTTACCGCAGCTTGCAATAACTTCCGCAAAAAACTACCTTGGACTCCCACCCGGATACTATTATTCATTTATTGACAAAATCCGACTGAAACGAGAGAGCTAAATCATCAACTAGTCCACTAATTCCATTGAAACAAAGATAAAATCTTTTGCACACGACGGCAGCAATATGAAAGTCTCAAGTCTTCTTTCATTTGCAGCTTTTTTAAATTATCTGTTGCCTGTATCAGCTGTATCACCTGTTACAAATTTTAAATGTTGGAACAAGGTTATTTCTTGCGCAATCATGCAAGAGGCAATTGACCGTGAATATGATAAAATGAAAAAACCTAGTGGACTTTACCGTGTGCGAGGAATATTTTCCATAGCACCATTCCACATTAAATATAGTACTCGATTAAGTTTGAAATTTCATTCTAAAAAGATATTATTTTCTACTAATTCTCATGTCGAGAAGTTTATGATGTCACAATCAATGTAGCATTTACGGAATGGAAACAAGTTGAATGGATGAAAGCTATAGTTGATGGTCGTGAGTATGGATGTGAGCCAACTGATGAGTTGGAAAATTGTGTTGTTTGGACGGGCCCTGGACGTTATCAGTAAGGATATTAAGGGCGCAAGATCAGATGCTCTAAATGCGGTAGATAGAAACGAAGGGGGACTACTCTCAACACCTATCAGTGGTGTCTCCTACGAAGCTCCAGCTCTCACTGTAGAGTCTGCAGAGCCGAGATTGAGTAACAAAGTCCTCACTTCGATGAGGATCCCCAATCGATTTCGCTGTCTATATCGTCTTCATCTCTCAACACATTCCCCTATCACCATTATCATGAAGCTAATCACGATCAGATCAGATGGTAGGGTCGAAGCCCTTCTCGTCAGCCACCCTTGATCAAGGAGGAAAAGCCACCCGAAGATTTTCTGCATCGTACCCAGCACCCGATACGGCGACGGTATAATGGATCGAGTCGGCCTCGAATGTTAAAAAGACGGAAGATATAGATGGATATGCGCACTTATGCGGCTTGGCCTGTAGGTTTTTGAGACTTTTGCCCGCGCACGCAGTTTCCATTGCTACCAATTTCTATTTTTTGGGGCTAAGAGTGGCTGAATTCCACGGATAAACACTGAGCTGAATGTATATTCATCACGGGCAACATATCAACGATTCTCCAAGAAAAAAGAGGATAGTAGCGCTGTACAAGGCGTGGCCTGGGTCAGAGAGGAGCCCAACGTGCTAGATAGTCCCCGACTCAAGTAGTACAATAAACATACCTCTCTAGACTAGAGCAATAAAGGTCGTTAAACACCCAAAGGTCTGAGTTTCATTCAATACAGTATATGCTGAGGTCGTAAAATATTCGTCCACGCTACACCTCCCACGGAGAGATTAAAAAGAATTGTGATGGAAAATATATGTGATGGGCTAGCACTTTCAGCTAAAGCACGCAAGCGATGCCAGAATTTGAAGTTTATAATTTCCATGAAGAGTTTAGTAGCGGAAAACTACGGCGCTCTATGACTTAAATGTCGGTTCCAGATCCGCTGCATCTTTACACGGGGCCTCGTAATACTCCCATACCACAAGCAGATTTACAAACTCGTCTGCGCCCGCGCCAAAAAATTTTGTCAAGACGTAGAAATAGCTAGAGCCAGGAAGCCCAGCCCCAAATATGTAATAAATGGTGAATTTATAAAGTATGATTTACAAGGTCTGCGAGCTTTGCCAGACACCACCTTGATCCTAGATTGATAGAGTCCGGCCCCTAGAGTGAGGGAGACGCAGAGGCCAAGCCACCAGGGAAATAAGCACTGGCGTCCATCCCTCTGAATAGTTTATCAGACACCGTGGCTGCGAGCTCCGGCTCGGCGCCCCGAAGGCCATTGAAGTCATAAACAGCCCAGCCGCAACCAACTGGGCCTAGCCCGTGATAGATATCCATTATTATTGGCTAGGACAAGAAGTTGAAAGCGGAATAATTAATTCTGATGGATAGAATCCAAGATGATAGCTGTTGTTTGTCGTTATATACGCTACCCTTGAGCCACCTAGTAGATTTGGTATGTCCAGTTGAGGTGACATGGGAATGAGGTATTGGCATGATGTTAGAGTATAGGGCTGAATACTCAGTCTCATATGATTTTCTCATAGATGTATGACTGTTATTTTTTGAGTGTGTATTGTCCAATGGATTCTGTGACCATGTAAGGCCATGTAGGTCCTTTCTGCCTACAAGCCGGGAATGTCGATGCCTCGGGTAGTGTACTCCCTTCTATGCTTCCTTCATAACTTCTATCTAGCAGTAATACACCCACGGGTATTTGTTTAAATACAAACTGAGAGAAGCCGTTATGCCGTCATTATCTCCCCCCCTCCAGCCAACGAAACAATGACCATTTGCGCGTGTGTAGCTGCAGAGAAAAGTCTCAAAAGCCACTAGGTGCGGGGCTCTCCCATGACGAAGAGGCCGGCCAGCCAGGCGCAGCAGACCTTTTTTTTTAAATCATTTAATGTGTATTCAGCTATCTAGCCATGACACACGACCGGTGCTATGTATACACATTGGATGCCTCTTTTGACGTTAGAGACACTCATACTCTGGATTTCATTTGCAAATACCACTACGAGGTATGTTCGCTTACACAAACAGTCGACCCTCCTCCGTAAGTACTCACAAAAGGGACGTTTCGAAACCTTTGGTTATCCAAGCATGCCTTCATCATCCATGCATACCAGCGCAGCGAGAAAAGTGGTTGTGTTTTGCCGGATTTGAACCGGCCATCTACTGTCTCGAATGGGATATGTGTTCAAGCTATCCAGACTCTACTTGGTAGACCGGCCAAGACGATGTACCACCGCACCATCCAACCATGGCGATGTTTATAGTGTCGCTTGCTCTCTCGCAACCGAAGTCTTGGTACGCACAAAGCTCAATTAGTAAAAACTCCTTGCCAAATTTCAAAATTCCACGCCAGTCGAGACTGTATCCATCCTTCGCATCATCTTGTGAACTTGTCCTGAATCCTCTCACGTCCATCCCAAAGAACTGTCTCCCAGATTTGTGTGCCACGCTTGGTTTCCTCCGTCGGGTATAAATATCGGCGTGGCCGTGTATTTGGTGGTCAACTGAGGCCAGAGAAGCTCGAAGAGAGGTGTGGTCATTGGTTTGAGGATGTAGTAGATCGTACTTGTAGGCTTGATGAGGCTCAGGTAGAAGTCAAACTCATTGGAAATGAAATATTGATTAGGTGAAGTATTTTGAATCATTACCCCTTGGGCTGACTTGTTCGATATTACGAAATTTGACTGAACTTGGCTCTGGGAGAATATTTCACTCCCAGGTTCGTAGAGGAAACCACACACAGGTGTTCACTCTTGCCCTCCAGCTAGAGGTTCGTAGGTAATGCCACTGACAGGTGTTGAGATCAGCCCCCATAGCACTCATAGGGCATAGCATGGGGAAGGCTAGTCCTTCCCAGACGACAATATACGACATTAGGTCAATTTGATAATTGAACCACACAAGCAGTAGGTGCATTCGTTGATACTCTTCAAGACTTATATGCTAGGGCCTCTCACCCTTCCGTCAACCGTGAATACAGACATGGTTGCATGTAGGACGTATTTGAGGTTTTAAATCATATATATTTTTTATTTTTTATTTTTCATAATTACTTAACGTCGTGCTAGCTCAAAACACAATCTTAAGGTCTCGTGCTGGACAGCTCATTCTACATAAACTACCCGACGACGCTTTTATATCGTTCGTCACTTAACAAGCGACAGGTATGGAGTGCATGTGACGCTGTAAACACTGCCATGGCTAGATGGTGCGGTGGTATTTGCGTGTGAAACCCAGAGAATGAGTGTTTCAAATGACAAAAGAGTCATGCAACATGCACACATAGCACTGGTCATGTGCTGTGGCAAGATAGCCGAATTCACATTAATGCTTTAAAAAAAAGCGATAATATCGGCATGAAAGTTCTGAGAAGGGTTATAGTACTGGCATAAGAATCCTTGGTCTGTAGGCAGTGGGGACCTGCTTGTCCTGTATCTTCAGATCCAGACGGGACGATAAAGTGAATTAAAAAAAGATACATGAAAGTTCTGCATTATCTAGTCGAATCTGAATGCCTGGGGAATCAATAATCGCCCGTGATAGGAACGCGAGAGCAAAGTGGGCCAGATCCTATGATCATGCCAACGCGACGCGCTTTGGGCGTTATACTTCAGGGGCCACGCTGCCGGGCCAACCAGGCCCTGCAGAGGAATGGCAGGGCAAGCAAACAATGGTAGCCCGTAATTTCCACCTTGCCCATTGCAGACCCTTCCACTGTACTTGACGCCGCTTAGCTATCGTTGAAAGGTCTGACAGCCCCTAGGACGGCGCTGCAGGTTTGGGAGCCAGAGCTACGTCTTGACGGGTCCATGCACCCATCAAGCACTTGTAGCCATCCTCAGCGCTGAGCTGCGCCTCACCACGACTCCTTCCCTTGCAGTCCGACTGCCAAGCTTGTTTTTAGGTTCAATATGTCATGTCAGCCTCTATTGCTTAAGTCCTTACGGTTGGTAGGCTGGTTATTTTGAGAGATTAGTGGATCTGAGCCAAGCATTTTCAGTCTCGATACCACGTGGAGGGATGCCAATGAGGTACTAAATCAGATCGGAATCGGTCAGCGTGCCCTTACGCCCTAGAGTTCTGATTCAATGCCTAGCCCAATTCACCTGTTCACAGTTGCCTGTTTTCTGAGACACGATCAAACTGCCAGCCGGAGGCCACAAGAGATACCTGTCCTTTAGTCGGCAATCCATGGAGCACGAGCATCCTCGACTCGAGCAGACCGCTTAAGGTGCACTTCCGAGATTTTTAATTCGCTGCCAAGCTTAACTCTCTCCTATACGATGCACCTGCTTTCACACACTGCTGACCATCCAATAGGCAAATTGTGGCATCATTCCGTGCACCGCAGCCTCGCGCACTCTGACGCGCTTTCAATTTAGCTAAGCGATTTGTAAGATTTATGCGCGTCGCGTCAGTATAACATCGACCAACCAGCTGCTTCACACCTTTGAAGCTTAAGCACTAAAAATGAGAAATTCCTTGCACAGGCGGACAAGAGATACGGCCGCAACAACATGCGGTATTGATAGGCACTCCAAAAACGGAGGATGGCTACCCATGAACCAAAAAATACAATTAGAGGCCTGGTAGGAAAAGAATAAATTTGTCTCCTGCGGGCTATGTTTGCGTCAAATTTTTCCAAATAGGCCAGCTTAGTATAGCAGGGCTCAAACGTACCTGTAGAATTTTTGTAGTTTTCATCCTTACAAGACGCGGAAAATAGGGTTGTGCAGAGCTACAGTACCCCAAATTTTCTCAGTACTAGTGGGGCATGTGGTCAAGAGCACAGGTAGACTGTGGCTGTCCAAGCAGTGTTCACTGGATATAAGGCTGTTTGGACATTTTAATAACTAACCAAAAATAAACCAATCAGTTTACTTAACTTCCTCACTTTTATCACGGTGGGTAGAAGAAATGGCCATATCCCTAGCCAGCACGCCGTTCAATTAGACGCGCAGGTTCCAGTGCGTCAGCTATATCAGGATGGGGCTAACTCTACCACTCAAGCCAGCTTCTCCTCTTCCCCTGCATTTCCCAGAGACGCGCTGAGTTTCGGCTCAAAGTTTGCGTAGGACAGAGATCCGCCACCAAACGATCAAGACCATGGCTGCAGATGTTCAGATTCCTGCCGCCGGAACAATGACGCAGTTCAGCAGTCTCATGCAACCTCTAGAACGATCTACCTCTTTGAAACATCCACTCGTGTTCCTGTACCTCCAATCTGGAAAACAAAAGCCAAACTTGTACCCGCCCGAGTACCTCTTGATGCAAGCGTTGTAGATCTCCAGATTCATCAATGGAACCTGTTTTCTCTATGTTGCCCATTATTTTTTAGCTTCACTTTTTGACTAGGAGGTGGGAGAGAAGGAATCAATTTCTATCATCTCTGCTTCTACAAGACGGTCTAACAAGTAATTTGTGAGCCCTGCTATCTAGAAGATTAGCTGTAAGATAGTCAATAGGTGATCTCGTGGAAGACAAAATATTCGAGCCCGTAGAAGATGGGCTGTGATTGGCCGAGAATGCACAAGGCTCAGTTGGCCTTGCATGATGGACAGACCGGGGGCTTGGAGGAATCCTGGGAGGATAATAGCTGCGCTAAGTCAGCAGGTTCTGACTAGCTCGCAAGCCCCTGCTCCGGTCTAGATTGCAAATCACATGTCCACAAGGCGGGAGTTGGCTGGTTCGCATCATGCACGATGCAATGACACACTGTCGCGCGGCGCTTGGGGGGGAGCGGAGAATGACAGTTGGTAAGGCCAGATGGACCCATCCATTCCCAGCTTCCCGTTTGGCGGGTAGCCGTGACGGATGGAAGAGCTAAAGTTCCCCTGAATCTTCCTCGGACCTGTCCCGCCCAAGTGAGTGTATGTGCGAAGGAAAAGTGGCCACTATTCCATCGAGCTTCCCGTCAGTGCTGCAATTGGGCAACACATTTCTGGCCAAGGTCAGGACGTGTCACTCCTTAGGGAATCAATCCTCTGCTTACCTTTTCGTGGTGCCCCCATAACGTAATGCCCTGCGTCACTTCTTGTGTTGTCTACTTGATACTGGTATCCGGGCATCCTATGCCTGAGTCAGCGAGACACCTCCAGCTGCGGGTAGAGAATTGATGTTCTGAAAGGTCTCTGATTACTTTCGACCTCAGTAAGACGAGCTATAATGTGCGTTGTTGAGGTTAGATATCAGTGCCGTTTGTAATCTACATCAAATGGAAACCCCGAACAACACCATAGGCGAGCGCGCCCTCTACGAAATAAGATAATTCAATATCTGCGCAGTGAGTATTCTACGTCTAAGTTGACACCCGAACCATCTTTCTGCACTGGTTTCATCGGTTGCATTGATGCGCAGTGCATTTGCCCCGGTCGTGGTCACCACAAGGCGGAATACGGTGAAGACTGGGATATATGTGTTGGGTGCCAGGCACTTGCGATCTCAATCGGCATAGATTAGAAGCGCACCCAAACCGTCGAGGTCCGAGAGAGACTCACTGCAAGACTGTTTGCCAGTCGATCTTGTCGTGACATCCCTGTCCCGCTAAAATAATATGTGAGGGTATTTTCGTGCCTATTACACGACTTTCACTCTTGGGCAACGCGACTTACTTATAAGCTGAAGTGATCCAGCAGAAGAAACATAGGTAGCGGCTAGAGGAGTGAAGCCGTATTTATGGTGTAGATGACCCTGTATCCTGGCTATCTTTCGGATATGTCATCGCTCCGGGCACGGCCTAGTGCCGGCAAGATAAGTCATCAGATAAAAACAAATTGCAACGGCGAAGTGTTCTGGTGGGTCATTATCCTATGCCAAGCGCCAGATCCCACAGATGGTAGATCTGCATGACGCTAGCTGGTGCGAGACCTGGTCTCGTCAAACTCGACCAATAGTCTCGATATATGATTGTAGAGAAATGCTATGTACCAGTTTCAATTGAGATCGCAAGGAGTGAGCATGAATTCCATATACCCTTAAACTCTTGGTGATTATAGTGTAGATATTTTCGCCATTCCTCAAAGGTCAAACACCAAAGTAGCCTCTCTGAAATTCATTGTTTAGGCGGATACGATTGTCGCTAAGGTTCTAAACCTACACGCTGTGAATCTCCGCGATTGAGAAAAACCGTGAATACGTTTGAGAGAGAATTAATCTTGCCACGGCCCAAGTACATCTCGTGGGCTTATCTCGCAGTTTTCTTTAAGTGTGTCGCCCTAGATCTCAGGATTCCCTGCGTTGTGCACGAGAGTTGAGGAGAGGGGGTTCTTTTTTAGGCCGCACTGTGAGGCCAAGATTACGCCACGCATAGTAGAAATCTATGATCAATAGCAGCAATATAAGCAGTTTGCAAAGTTGTTTTCCTAGAGGACCAGCTGAATGATGAGACGAGAAGCAAGTAGATCTAACATCTTGTGTATTAGCAGCGTGTGCCTCAGTAGTGTGAGTTGCTTGCGGTTAAAATAATTCAGGTGGCCAGAGATGCAGCCGGAGAAAGTCTCAGGCGGACGTTTATACCGACTCACACCTAATAAGATGAGTAAAAAGCTCGTGAACAATAATGGTGCCGTGATTCGCTGGCGGATGCAAAAAGTGCTTGGGATTGCGAGATAGGTTTGGTCCAGGGACACATCAGTATGTACAACAACAACAAAATTTCCTACTTCCGACAGTTACCACGCTCCATCTACAACGTTAGGCTCAATACAGAGCCTTGAGAGTTGCATTTATTCAGGCGTTGGCTCCCATCAGCGATCAAAGTACTGTGTCGAGATCATCTCAGCCCGGGGTCCAAGGAACTTGCATGGGGTACTCGGGATGAAACCTGACATACAGCATGTCTTTCCTTTTACTTGTCTTTCCTTAGCTTTGTCCGCCATAAACATGGGGGACCGAAGAGAAGTGGGAAAAGGGACGGGGATATCGACGTCTCTTCATGAAAACTTCTTGTACGTATATGCTCGTCCTAGAAAGGCACAGCTTATCATGGGTAGACCCTTGTAGCCCCTTTTACCGGCAATTGATAGAGCCGGGGAGACATGTTAGGCTGGCAGGAATCTCCCTAATCGTTCGTAATGCTGGATAATGCCGCGTCTTTTCCATGAGCAAGATAGAGAGGGGTTAGTTGTAGTGCAGGTAGGACACGCGGAGGGTCGTAATGTAGGGTTTTCCAATTGCGTTGCTGAACCGGGTATGGGAACCGACCAGGAAATCTAGAGGGCCATCAAGCGTTTTGTTAAGTACGCCCAAAGCTAGCCTTGAGGAATATGCTCGTCTCTGCGGTCCATCATATACGGCAGTCAGAGGATGTTTGAGGTTAAGATTGATAGGGTGGGGGATGCCGCCCTAAGCGCGACTAATATGATAGCGATCTGTCCCGTTACCCGTCGCCCACATTTAGGCCCCGCCCTCACGAATCCGATTAAGTTTTTGTTTTCTGAGGTGACAGCATCGGCTCTTTTACTCCGTCCTAGGGATATGACCCCCTTTCTTGTGCCAATTTGGTAATATTCATGTTTGCAGATCGCTCGCCGCGCAATAAAGGACGATTCTAAATCACCCCACTTCATAATACCGGATATATCCGTGTTGACTAGAGAAGTGTGAAGTAATATTTGTCGTATCCGCGGTGACGACGACAACGATAACGGCGGTAGGCACCGCAGTCTCCGTTGCAGCAGGAATAAGTATAGGCACAGTCGCAGTATTTGCGGTATCGCCAACCTAGGATGCGCACAGCCACATCCAGGCCTCTAATGCCGGAGCGGAATAAGGGCTGCCAGGATATCATATCTGGGCGACGTGACGAATGATTTGGATAACTGGTTACCAATTAACCGCCATGGCTGTAAGGTAGTCGCGCATGAGCACCTCGTCACCATCATAGATGTTGAGCCGAGGCCGTAGCCACAGTTGTCATCAGTAGCTCTAGATTTTCCCCTTTTTGTCCAGTCTGCAAAGATTTCATCTTGCCAGCATGTTGAGATAATCCAGAACCTCCGTCATTCGCGACTTCACCAACCGCAGCCTCAGAAGTTTTGTCATCGATTCTACAATTATGCCAAATGCCTCGGTAGGTGCATCTCCTCCAACAAGCCAGTCAACCCCAAGTTATCCTCATTCCTATGAGGATACGCGTTGAGTAGAAACTAGAGTGGATGCCATGCCGTAGCTTTAGCGTAGTTCGAGTATATAGGTCTGGGCAACACTTTTGTAGTTGTCTAAATACCGGGTTTTACTTGGAAGTTATTTGTCTATGTCAGCATACCTGCCCTGTTCTAGAGCCGCGTGAATAGCGGAATAACGGAATAGCTCCACAAACTACCTGGATAGGAAGCCGTCACTCTATCGCCTGTCTGGGACTAGCAAAGTAAACAATGGCCCACTTTTCGCGTACGTCGTGACTAAGACCAATCCAGCTAAATTTCTTCCGCATTCTCCCCTTCCACCCCTTCTTCAACAAACCCTCAATTTTCCCAATTATCCTGCGCCATTCACTTACCCCTCATCCACTCAGGAACAACAGTTCTAGCATTCCCTCGACCGCTGTCGGCGTGTGTGAGTGTGGCTGTTGGCGACACCCATCCGAAAGCCATGGTGCATGATACGTGAAGGAAATACAGTCGCTCAGAATATCTAACCGTCGCCTAAACATCGCAACACAAGCGCGAGAACTCCAAAATACCGTTTTCCGCCTCATGTACTTCGGTTTACTCACGTTACTCTAGTGACTTTTCAGATTTGCCTGTTACACCAGTTGATCTCTTTTAAGTAAAAAAACGAGGGAGAATACGAAGCTGAATCGGCGCATAACAATTATTCTCTGGCAATCTACTACCGACTTCTACCAAATTAACGCGAAGTTCTATTCAGTCTACCACATACATTCTTTGAAATCGAATAGTTGACTAGTCTCGAAGCATGCCATACGTAAACAACGGCGGGGGAACCCTCACACTTCCCTCTCCGACACATGTTCATCATGTCGACGTGACCTCAGCAGTACGTTCACTTCGACGTTCTCTCTCTAAATCACCGTCAAAATTCCGTTTAGTCACCGCTGCAAGCAGTCCGTCACCGAAGTCACCCCTATCGCCATCTCCACTCTCTCCAAATCCGGCTCCGAGTACTACAAACTCAAGTAGCAACTTACCACACACTCCCTCGCCATTAGCCGTTCCATTTCCTCCGAGTGTCAAATTAGCATTGCGCTCATCTTCCCGGATCAAACCTTCGCAATCACGTCAATCACCGCGCGCCCGAACTTCGCCAAAATCACCATACAAACGCAATACAACCCGAAACTTAGAAGCACATACTGTGGTGCCATCCTTGTGCACTGATGCAAGTAGAGGCCTGGATAGTATCGTCAGCAACCTCAATGCGGAAAAGACGAGCTCAACCATAGGAATCACACATCCTATCAATCCTGCCCTCACAAGACTTGGTATCGAAAACGCTAATGAGGTTCCGCCAGGAGCGCAAACCTCAAGTCCACTGAAACGAAACGACACCATAATGAATTTAGATCAGGCAAGTCTGGGGAGTCCTGTAGCTAAGCGTCGGAGCCTACATGGATCCGGAAATTTTGGCCATGATTTCAATATATTTGACCATGGACCATCAAACTTTGAACCCCATGAAGAAGTAGTCCAGGAATATGAGCTTTCATCATCTTCAATAACTGCCGAAATATTGCCTTACGCATCATTACCGCGACGTTCTTCCTCTCTACGAAAATCAACACTACAGCAGCGTCACGGAGAAAAAACATCATGGGGCAGAAGACATGCAGCCCAGATCCTAGCAGCTCAGCAAGCTGCTAACTCTGCCACAACCGGCGTAATCCCGGAAGTCGTGTCTACCAGCCATACTAAAAACCGACCTCGCTTGTCCCTTGACCAATTTATGCCACCTTTGCCACGAGATAGTCCATTCTCAACTCAAGTTGGATTATTGAACGCATCAGTACACGCCTTAAATCAGTCTACCCACCAACCACACCCTCTTTCCCGCACCATAACCACATCATCCTCCAGCTCAAATAATTTAGATGAGTCACCCACACACGCGCCTATTCACACTGCCATACACCGTCGATCAAAACCCGATTTTTCCAAGTCAATGCCAGCTGGTGCATTGAGGCCATTTAAGCTTGGAACCCAAGTCAATGAAGATGCAACATTCGTAACTCCGCAAAATTTTCGATCTGTCAAACCTTTGCCTGCGGCTTTCGTCTCTACAGGACTTATCTCGAAAGTTAATCGGAATCCTGAGGATCCTTTAACTTCCAGAGGAGCTAACAAAAATCATGTGCCGGACACACCGTGCAAAAAGCACGTCAATGGCTTCGCTACATATCCAGCGCCAGTCCCTGGTAGTGCTATTGCCAAAGCTCGTCACATTCGTCACTCCTTCGGCGCACCATCGACACCGTTTAACCCGCACCTCGATTCTCAGTCAAATATAGGAGAGAGAAGCAGGGCCACATTCGGAGGTGTATTCGGAGGGCGCGGGATGAGCAGGAGATCAAGTCTCCTGAGCTTGGACAGTGAGGATTCAGCCTCCCCCGAATTGAAGTGTGATATCCAATCTGTCGCAGACCTCGAACTTCCTCCAACGCCCACGAAACAATCACTCATTGTAAGACAAGAGAATGTTAGTCCTAGTTCCAACAGAAATATCCCGGCTTCATTTGGTGGACACGATCTCGTCCTCAAACTTCCCAAGCAAAGTGGTAAGTAATATACTTGTATGAATGCGATAAATTCTACCCACAGAATTTACACAGTTGAGGATACTCAAAAAACTCTCAATTAGTTTAAGATCTATTGAGTCAGTGTCAGAGACAGATAGTAGTCCAAAATGACTTATATATACTGTTTACTGCGCTATATGAAAACTCTTGCGCAATCGAGTACTTCTTGAAATTTCTAAATACAAAGCTAACATAATTTCTTTAATAGTTCACGTTTCCAGTCGCACTGACTTTCTCAGCCGCTTGTCTCCCCATACCCCGTTAGAATCTCCATCCGGAGCAACAACACCTCCCGACCCAAGCGGACTCAGCATATCACACCACCTTAACACAAAGACATCAAATCCATGCGCTGGTGCCTCAATGCCTCCACCCGCTACACCAACAGCCGGAAGAGAGCATAACTTTAAAATTGGAGGAGCTTTACGGATGAGTTCAACGCCCGTAAGTTCGTACTCTTTGAATGATATTGATGCATCCCTCGCTTCCAAATTCGAAAAAGTTGAGATGATTGGAACTGGTGAATTTTCCCAAGTCTTCCGCGTTACCGAAAGGCCTCTACAACCAGGATCTCCATCCTCAAACCGTATATTTGCAGTGAAGAAGACAAGGCATCCATTCCAAGGGATACGAGATCGTGAGCGAAAGATACAAGAAGTCAATATACTCAGAGCGCTTGGTGATTCTGACTATATAGTTCATCTCCTGAACAGTTGGGAAGAAAAGAATCATCTGTACATACAAACTGAGTTCTGTGAAGAGGGTAGTATGGATCTATTTTTATCTCAGGTCGGTCGGAAAGGGAGATTGGACGATTTCAGGATTTGGAAGATTCTCCTTGAGCTGGGACTCGTAAGTTTTCTCTCAAATAGACATGAGGAACCCTCGCTTACATCTTACTAAGGGGTTGAAACATATTCATGATAAGGGATTTATTCACTTGGATCTCAAGCCCGCAAATATTCTGATAACCTTTGAGGGTGTCCTCAAAATCGCTGACTTTGGCATGGCTACTTCTTGGCCTGCACCCCAAGGAATTGAAGGTGAGGGGGACCGAGAGTACATAGGGCCAGAAATACTTGAAGGAAATTACGATAAGCCAGCCGACGTCTTTGCACTTGGACTTATAATGCTCGAAATAGCTGGCAATGTACAGTTGCCGGATAACGGACCAACATGGCAACGTCTGCGCTCTGGAGACGTCAGTGACGTTCCTAGCCTTACGTGTGTTAGTGACTGTCAAATCCGTCGGGACGCAACTGGAATTCCTCTGGATGAAAGCGACCTGAATGTAGGCTCACTCGGTAGTGATGATGAGCTTGAAACAGAATTCAGTTCGCCAACCTTTAGCTGCCGCAAGCGAAGCTATGGACGGTGCAGCAGGTCACTCTCACACGACCCAAGCAATCTTTTTGGCTCCATGCGCAGGGGCGAGTTGCACAAAGCGCCTCAGTTTATGAAGGATCAAAATCATCCAACCTCTCTTGACCAGTTAGTTAGATGGATGATTACCCCTAACCCTCAAGGTCGACCCGTCGTTCATCAAGTGCTCGAGTCTGAAGGAGTTTCTTGGGTGGAAACTAGGCGTCGCGCTGGCGCTACCGTATACGAAGGCAATTGGGGCCCTGCCGACGAAGCTTTAGCTGTTGATACCGAGATGGGAGATGTCTAGTCCACGAATCGACCTTTCAGATATTCTACAGCTTAGAAAAACTTGCTCATTCTGGCTCACCTCTTAGCATGAATTTTGGCTTATAAAGATAAGCGAGGTATAAAGTGCAACCGTGTCCATCCTATTGAGAATGGAGAGATCATCTACAGTATCTTGTAGATTGGAGCCTTTAAAATGCATGGTTCATTGTTGATAAAGGTGCAACTAGACTTCTAGAACGCACATCTTACGACGCCTTGACGAAATCACGAAATTAACCAGAAACACTATCTTCTTCTGATACTGAAACGAGAGTAATGTCGATGCAATGACCAACCTTGCTGGAATGTGCTTATTTTAGGTTGGAAACTTAATATTAAGGGGGTTCAAGGAAATTTTTAGCCTGCGAAACTGTTATACTGTCATGATTGTTATAGCTGAACCAGATTTTGGTTGCTTTGTAAAGAGTATATTTTGGGAAATGGACGAAAATGAAAGTTAGTTGCAATTGGGAGAAAAATGCTGTATATAGTCCCATAGTAAGGCGGGAAGGCTCCAGTAATGGAAATATGCAAATAAATAAGTTAAACTATTAAGTGTCACAAAAAAGCTACCCTATGCGATTAGGTTATGTGTGAGCAACAATGTAAACACTTTATAATCACCAGTACACTTGATTATTTATGGATACATTTTGAATATTGAGTTGCTTATATTGTGCTTGAGTCGTAGACTATGTAGCCTTTGGGCTCCTTTCTGGCCCAGGCCACACCCCATGCAGTGCTCCGTGCCTTTTATGCGGCTTGAAGATCATTGATATGTTGCCCGTGATGAACAGACATCCAGTTCAGTATTTACCCATGGAATTCAGTCACTTTTTAACCTCTAAAATAGAAATTGGTAGAAATGGAAACTGCGTGCGCGGGTTAAAGTCTCAAAAAACCTGCAGCCTCAGCCGGGTGAGGCCAAGACACCGGGACCACATGAGGTGCGCCTGTCTATCTAAATATCCCGTATTTGTAATATTAGAGACTATCATGATCCAATCTACCGTCGCCGTATCGGCAGCTGGGTACGCTCTGGAAACTCATCAGACGGCTTTTCCTCCATTATCAAGGGTTGGTGACGAGTAGGGCTCCGGCCCTACCATCTGATCTGATCGTGGTTAGCTTCATGATAATGGTGATAGGGGAATGTGTTGAGAGATGAAGACGATACAGACCGCGAAAGCGATTGGGAATCCTCATGGAAGTGAGGACTTTGCTACTCAATCCCGGCTCTGCAGACTCTAGAGTGAAAGCTGGAGCTTCGTAGGGGAAACCACAGACAGGTGTCGAGAATAGTCACCCTATCGTAAACAGAAGAAAACTTGTGCAATGTTCGAATTGAAATAATGAACATCCTTTACTTTCTCAAGATTTTGAGGAAGATCTTTCCTGGCCAAAATGATCCCGAATCTCCCCAAACTCATACCATCTATCGATGCTCTCATTAATCCAAGAGTCATATTTGCAATCTAGGATACATGAGGGCATATATCCCGTCCCAACTGCTGCATGCAGTGAAGGCACGGTCAAAGTACCGTGATTATATTTGTGTATATCTCGAGCAAGGGCAGCAATAACTCAACCTACAACGAAGTGCTACCGACGAAATACACATTTCAGTTTATCAGCCTACCGGTCAAAGCATTCGACAAAGGCCGAGATATCTTTACTTCGTTTTGAGCTCTTCGTCGTATGTTCGACCTCCATGGTTAGGGGTATGCAGCGTAAGTTCAAGGCGTAGAGGATGAACAGACTCCCAATCTTCTAGGATTGGATTATTGACTCTTGGAAAAATGAGACGCTACGGCTGAGGGGTATGGAGAAATATTACGTGGGAGACCCTGGTGAGCGTCTAGACGAGGCCTCGAGCGTAGAAAACAACTTCTAGATGACACAAGGAAATGCTAAGACGTAACAAAAATGAAAAATACAAGTTCCCGAAGGTGATGAGAGTTCGGACGAGTGGTGGTCGAATTTTAGGAGGGATTTGCTCGTCTAAATCGCCATCTCCGGACGGATATATTTGACCAGTTTCGAAACGCGAGTAAAATCTGACGTGATCGGGTATTTAGGTAGGACTAGGCTTTCATAATTAATAGTAGATGATCTGATCTAATCCGACTCAACCCATGATCAAGCTCCTGTAGGACTACGAAGGTGTTAGGCAAAGTTGTGCTTATTTGAATCTCTCTCAGAATTGATTGTACATGCAAACTGCTCAAATGTCCGTTCCATACATGATTCTAAAATTGGCTGTGACATTATCGTGGGCAACAGGAGGAATGAAACAATTAGAGTGTTGTGACAAGGAAATTGGCCATCCGTCTAGTCACTAGTTGTAACATTTGCATGACTAAATTATTGCCCTTGATGCATCAGTCTCGTATACTCGCTTGTAAACTACTCAACAACAACTTCCTGATACTATATTTAAATTTAGGGTAATCTTTTTGACAGGAGGCTTTCAACTACCCAGCAGATCGGTATAAGATTAAACTAAATCCACCTCAGACGCATTACGGCTGATTCCTGCTGGACAAATCTATTGATCAAAATCTTGGAGGATCCGGCGCGCCAACCACTTCTCGCAAACTCTATCATACCTCTTTAACCATGTCCCGAGTTTCTCGTCTTCCACCATCTGTACTCACCCTCTTTTGTTGTGAGCATAGGCCGATCCACGTATAAGAGCCGCGCATGCTTTTCCTGCGACGTCGAGGTCAATGAATCTTCTAGGGTTGTGGGAATGTTGTGCGAATAGACCAAGGTTCGGGAAAGAGATAAAGTATCTATCCTCAGCGTTCTAATTCACCCTTCTTCTGCGGCAAAAACGATCAAAATCGCCCTTCAAACTACAATTTGTCGAGTGGCGAGTCCCGGATCTCCTCGCCATAGAGTGCGCCAAAAACTTATTTCTACCTTCGGAAATACATGAGTCTAGTGTCAGCGGTCAACCCACATGGGTATAGGATTAAGTGAGGATATTTTGGGCCTATTTACAGGCCGTAGATGGGGGCTATTCTCAACACCTGTCAGTGGTGTCCGCTACTAACTCCCAGCTCTGACTGTAGAGTCTGCAGAGCCGAGATTGAGTTATAACTTCGTTCTCACTCCTATCAGGATTCTCAATCGCCTTCGCCGTCTATATCATCTTCATCTCTCAATACACCCCACTCTGATCATTATCATGAAGCTAACCACGATCAGATCAGATGGTAGGGTCGGAGCCCTTCTCGTCACCAACCCTTGATAATGGAGGAAAAGCCATCCGATGAGTTTCTGGAGCGTACCCAGCTGCCGATACGGCGACGGTGGATTGGATCATGATAGTCTCTAATATTACAAATACGGGATATTTAGATAGACAGGCGCACCTATGTAGCTTGGGCTGCATGTCTTCTGAGCCTTTGTCCGCGCACGCAGTTTCCATTGCTATCATTTTTATTTTTTTTGGATAGAAAGTCCCATGGAAAAGGTGGCTGGATTCCACCGGTAAACACCGAGCTGAATGGCTATTCATCACGGGCAACATATTAATGATCTTCAAGCGGCATAAGAGGCAAGGAGTACTGTACAAGATGTGGCCGGGCTAGAGAGGAGCCCAACGTGTTAGGTAGTCATAGACTCAAGTAGTACAACAATCACATCATATCATATTCGACCCAGCGTTTCCTGTCTCTTATTAATCATCAAGTATTTGCAGTCTGAATCGCTATGATACTTGATTCTTTCTCGTGAGGGATATGTATTATAGCCATCCGCATCTTACTAGGGAGAGCGGCCCAGATGGTATACCACAGCACCACAGCACCATCAAACCATGGCGCTCGGTGCAGTGTCACACTCACTTTCGCAATCAAAGTCTTAGCACATACAAAGCCCAATTTGACTGAACATGTCCCCGGAATAATATTTCACTCCAAGGTTGGTAGAATAGAATAGAACTCAAGTCCCTACTGTCTCTATGACTATGAAGGACTCCAAGATTGGTAGAAGATACTGCAGACGGGCGTTCGGTCTCTGCCCTCCGTCAACCACCTCAAATTATCCCTCAACTACAGAAATCCTATTATAGAAAGCCATCACATAAACTAGATTATTTCAAATTATCAAGATTTAGATATAGCCCGATGCCTGCCGAACAAGTAAAAGATACATCACTATGCACAACGATCCGATCAAAGAGTCTCTTCCTCAAATGAAGGAAGGTTATCTCGTCGGGCCTAGGACTTGTCCCTCACTATCCATGAGAGCAGAATTTAAAGTTAGACGATTGGAACTTATAAAGTGCAGCTCGTATCTTACTAATAGATTCTAGGAGTGCTCTACAGTCATTGACTCGGTTAGGACTATAATATAATTCTGTGAGCGGATGCATATTTAAGTATAGTCAGCTCTAGTTATGCAGTCATGTAATATATAAGGACTGGGAGTTATGCAGGCATCCAAGGTGATCCGTGCATACATACACACAAGAAGGGCGGTCTCAGTGGTTGAGGCTAGATAGAGAACCTTAGTGATTTAGTTGTAATACAAGATTGAGCCAGTAAAGTTTACAAATTCCAATCTAATCTCATCTGGCCTCCTCAAAAACACGTCTAGTATCTTCAAAGCCAGTAGGAACCACGATGAAAATCCAGCTCGTGCATAGCACATTACTGCCAAAGTTCGTGAGGCACTTTGAGTCGAGATACTTGCTAATACGACGGCAACGTGACACATTCCTTGGGAATCTGCAAAAAGGGGAAGACTGCTGGCATCAAAGAAATTTGTGCCTTTTGGCCAAATGCGTAGTGTAGCGTGTACATTCATATTTCTTCTGTGATGCAATGAGTCCACGACAAAGGCAGTGCGGATAAAGGGCTCGCCTCATTTTCCGCCACGACATGGGAGGTTCACGTCGGCCATCTTTAGGCGACGAAACATCACGCTCGACTCGCTGAGCCAGCCAGCTACATTGGGTTCCTATCGCGC